TCTACTACTCCATGCGCATTTTCTATGGATAACACTTTCTTCCCCTTCCTCGATTGCGGCTGCCACATGCACACAGACGGTGCCAACCTCGTGGCTGTGCGTTGCACTGGCTTTCCAAATGGGAAGCGAGTCCGCGGACACAGTGAGGGACAACCGTGATGCCTGTGTGTGTGTGTGTGTGTGTGTGTGTGTGTGTGTGTGTATATGTGTATGTGTTTTGGGGTGCGCCTCTGAGTGATTTGTCTGTCGCCCTCACGGGGCGCAGAGGTAGCGTGGACGTCGTTGGAACGGTGCCAGCGCTAGTTGCCTCGCAGAGGGGGAGGCCAGCAGCCGGCAGTTGGTATCTTCGACTTGATGTTGGTTTATGGTGACGGCGGCCGGGTTTGGGTGGCCCGGGGCGAATGCGATGGATTCCCCACCCAATGGCTTCAGATGCCGAGGATGGGTGGCAAATGTTGTTTTGTCTCTGCGTGCGTGTGGCAAATGAGAGCAAGCGGGAAATGGTGTGGCGGCGGCATAGAGGCCATGTGGGCGGCGGGGCACAAGTGGGGAGAGAGCGCAGGGGGGTCTCGTTTGGGTTTCTATCCCCGCACTGCTGCCGTCGTTGTGGCTTGGGTTTTGGTTTTGACTTGTTGTGCTTTTTGCCTTTGCGGCGTGGTGCGGTGTGTGTGCATGTAGCAGGCTTTAGTTTTTAGTTTTTGTTTTTTTTTCCACCGCACCCTTTTTCACGTTTTCCCCTGAGAGTAATTCGGCTGCTGGGAGAAGAAGAGGGAGAGGAGAAAGGCGTTGAACTGCTGCTGCGGGGAGGGAGCTGTGATGCACGTGTGTGGGAGTCTGCTGATCCTCTGCCTTGGGTGTCGCAGGGCAAAAGAAGGGGCGAGGGCACGAGGGTGCGCCAGAGGTGTGAAACGACGCTGGACGCTGCTGCGGCGCTCTGCGAGACCTTCTTTGGAGTCTGCGCCCCCACGCAGCGGGTGGTGTGCGTCAGCGCGGGGAGGGCAGCCGTGCCTGCGCTGCTCACTCGCTGGGCGCTGGTGTGCCCATGCAGCCGCAGCGAGCAACGCGGACCACGCAGTTTTTTTTTGTTTTTGTTTGCCTGATGTCTCTCTGGGGGTGGGGCCGTCTTGGCGTTGCACCTCTCTTTCCCTCACTTTGTCTCCAACCCGCGAACACAGACGGTAGACACACACATACACAATCGCACATGCATTCTTCGACGCAGCAGGTATTTGATGGCGGATGAAGCTGGCATGCGAGCGCGCTCCGCGACGAGGACTGTCGTCCGGTGGATGGCGTTGCTGCTGCTGCAGTGCTTGGGCAGTCACCCCTCCTTCACCGCAGCGGGAGAGGACAGACGCGTGATCGTTAAAATCAAGACGTTTTTTGGCAGGCCCTATTGGGAGTTTATTGAGAGGCATGTTGTCGTCGTTTATTTTGACGTATGTGCTGATGCCTGTCGTGTAGGTGGAGGCCTCCCTTATGCGGATCAAACATCTGCTGCGCATCAGTCCATCACGGATTGCTTGAGACTGGTGCGAGGCTCTACAGATCCTGCAATACATTCACGTACATGGGTGGCGACGCCATGTGAAGCGTCAATTGGCAGGAGGACCCAGCCAAAGAGTGTCAACGAGGTGTTATTGGAGCGTCTTTGAATTACATCTTCCAGTGGAATCTGGTCGG